TGTTGTGTATTTTAATGTAAGAATTAATTATATTTCAGTTAGTACTTACAATATTTGGTTAGTGGGTAATTTTTTTTTTCCTCGACGCACAACTGTAATTCACTTTTAAAGTTACCACAAAATTAACATGTATTACAAAATAAGTAATAATAAAGGAATGTTATAATAATTTAAATTGAATTACGCGATAACATGTACAAGATTGATGTAAATATAAGTTTATTACGAACTTTGACAGTTGACCGGTAAGAAATATTTATGTGTCGATTTTTGTACACAAATACTATATAAAAATGAACACAAACAACAATCGATACTTTTTATAGCTTAAACTCACTAATTATATCAATTACACTAAAAAAATTGAATAATAAATTAGATAAAAGTATTTAATTATTAGGGCCAGCTGACAAAGACAGTTATCGGTAATGTTGCCAGTCGTGGAAAAAAAAAAAAAAAAAGAATAAAAAAAAAAAAGGAAAAATTTATTTAAAATTATTATAATTATTATTTAAATTTATTTGAATAAAGATTATTTCTAATACAAATAAAAGGCACATAACGTTCCTACCACACATACATTTACCAGTTAGGTTACCTACCTTTAAATCTGTCGATGTAATACAATTACTATCGTGAAGTCTCCTATATAGATAACTAATTTTATTATGAACAAATGTTCACCACAAGTATATACAGCAAACGTAATTAATAATTTCTCAATGAAAGAGTCACTGTTTGGTAACTAGAAAATGGATATTTATGTAGGTGCTCTGCGGATGTTATGAAATGCCATCATGGATCGCACCAATTTATATATAACACAGTTGCACATAAGATAGGGTTTTATTATGTTATATGATAAAAATTGGTCGTTATGCGATTTTGTATGAACAAGTTAAGTATTCCAACAAAGAATATAGAGCAATTTGTACGGATCTCTATTGCAACTATGAAATTTAAAAATAGGTATGTCATAACTGAATATTTTAATAAGTTTCTATTAGGATTTTATTTTAGGGGCAACAATCTCCGGGGATTGTGGTTATGAACCTTTAGCGGTTTTAGCGGCTAGAATTGGACCAATATCTTGAAATGTGTGTTCCCTGTAGCAGCAGCATCAGGAAGAGGAAGGTGAAGAGATGAGACAGTTTGTGGCTAAGTGCATATTTATATTGTTGAAGTATTTTCAATTGATATATAATACAAAAGGAATCGGTCCCGAATAGCAGACTTGTTGACAGCCCATGAATACCATAACTAGGCAACGGTGTTGCTATAGTTTGTGGTTATTGTGGTTCTAATTTGTGTTCGTAATGGTACTGGCAGCGGCAGGAATCGGGTGCTGAAATCATTAATCCAACTGTGCCTATTTACAGTGTGTTTATTAAGTTATACAGATGTATACGTATATATATTCAGAAGAATTCGGTCCGAACGACAGAATTGTTGTTTTCCTAGTTCGCATCGTAACTAGGGTACGGTGTTGCCGCGCGTTTATAATAAACTCACCTCAAACCATTTTTGGCATATCTACTAAATTTTTATCATATTTATTAATTTCATTTTATTAAACAATTAAACACCAAATCATTAAAATAGAAAACAAGTCATTTTTGTAAAGGTATGTGTCAATAGAAATAGAAATGGAAATTCATTTATTCAAGTAAACTTACATTGAAGCTGTTTTGAATAGTCATCACATTTCTTTAATCTACCGCTCATTCGGAAAGCTGTCTCATCACAAGAATAACGAGGTGAATACAAACTACCGATTAGCACTAATTCAATTAAATAATCAAATAGAAAAAAATATTAAATAGACAACAACTGGTTAAACAATTAATAAGAGTAAATCAGTCATAGTGATTAGAGCAGACCAGTCCCTACAAGCAGCACCCGTTCACGAGTATCACGGAGCCAGCCATTACTGCGCTCGACCATATTTTAGGGAGCCCAATGACCCGGCCCACCACGCCGCCACAAGTCTGGACATTTTAGTGAGCATGACTACTCAAAACACCTGACCACGTCATAGCTACTCACAATTACCATCTGATGGCTATAGTAATCACATTTTACATAAGAATGCATGCGGCAATCAATACAAAAACCGCTACGCTTTCATATTTCTAAAATAAAAAGCAATGAGATAAATAAATTATAACGTTGTATAATATACTAATTATTTACTTGATATATTGTCATCTATGAATTCGTCTATCCTGTAATAGGCTTTCTTACACAAAAATTGTTTAATATAAAAATTTGCCTCTCTGTCAGATTTAGTGCAGATTCTGGCAGTTTATTATAAAATCTTACGCAATTCATTTTATGAATTACTATCTTTGTGCAGACGACATTTAGGTAAAATTAGCTTATTTTTATTGCGTAAGTTTCTACTAGTACAGTCTTTAAGTTTTTTTAAAACTATCTGAATTCTTCCGTGTATACATGATATTTTCATAAATGTATTGTGAAGTAACGGTGAGGATATTTGAGTCTTTAAAGCACTGACGTAATGACTCTCTTGAACCCATATCATAAATAGAACGTATGGCTCTCTTTTGTAAAATAAATATAGTATTTATATCGGCTGCTTTACCCCACAGCAGTATGCCATATGACATAATGCTAGTATAAGTATACAAGTTTAGCCGTGGCCACGTCTGTTAATTGCCTAATTCTTCTAACTGCATATGCAGCAGAACTGAGTCTCCTGGCCAATTGTGAAATATGGGGCCCATACATAGATTGTAATCTCGAGTCGAGTAAAAAACTGTTTCATTATCAAAATTTACTATTTCATCATTCAGTAATAATCGTTTATTTATTAGTCTTACATTAAGAAGTGTAAATTTTATACACTTTGTTTTGCTGGAATTTAATAATAAGTTATTACATGTAAACCAATTTAATATAGCAGACATAGCACAACTTACATTGTCTAATTGATTAGTTTGACGTTCAATTTTAAACACTAACGAAGTATCATCCGCAAACAGTACTATATCTGCAATTTTCTCTACTATAAAGGGAAGGTCATTTATGTAAATTAAAAAGTGAAAGGGGCCTAAGATTGACCCTTGTGGAACGCCCATTCCAATATTAGCTCCCTCAGATTTTACACCGTCAATATCTACAGTTTGAAGCCTATCCTCTAAATAAGTTCTCATTAATTTTAGATCATTATCTCGTATACCATAATGTTCGAGCTTGTACAAAATTGTTTTATGATCCACGTAATCAAATGCCTTTGGTAGGTCACAAAAAAATTCGAGTGCATCCTGTGACTTCTCCCATCATTGGTGATCATTAAACTCTAACCTAACCTAACCTACGGTTTGTTTTCTGTGCGAGGGGATGAGGGGGTGGGGATACCCTTACTGCTGTGGTAGAATCCCCTTTGGGGGGGTTGCTTACCTCATTGATTTTGGGGGGGACAGGTTCATCATTCTGAGTGTATTAGTGACCATCGCTCCAGTTTTCTTTTGAGTAATCATTAAACTGTAACCTAACCTACAGTTTGTTTTTTGTGTGAGGGATTTTCCCCCTGAGTACCCCCCTTTCACCCCTCTCCTCTGTTAGCTGAATTGGAATTCAACCTGCCACTTAAAACAAAATGGCGTCGCGTCGTTAGTGTTGCCATCATTATTATTGTGTTTTAATTCTCCTTTTTTAAGAAAAATGTTCTTTACCAAAAATTAATATCATAACGAAATTGTGATAAAAAATATTTCAAAGTATTTTTATATACATTACGATGTGTACAATAAAATAAAAACTAAATTAAAATAGGAAAAATTACCTAAAACTATTTAAAAAAAGTTTAAAAAAAGTTTAATTATATAACGAATAATGAAACGTCGAGCGGATGTCAAAAGTGTTTACCAACTAGTTTCACGTATTGTAATTAAAATTTCAAAAATTAATATTTCGAAAATGACTTTCCGCAAGTTATAATTTGTAGGAGTAGAATAACAATAACAAGATCTATTAAATATAAAATTTTCAACTCTCAAATCAATCAATAATAACCCAGGACATCTCACAAAGCGTGGAGGAAAAGGGGATTGTTAGTAATGTGGGCTGATTACCCCATTGCTAGCAATGTACTATATCAAATTGACCTTCACGCGGTTTCCACTTGAAATCAACATAATAAATTCCTCTTATTGGATTTATCACGTTGGGGTACCCACACTGACCATCCCCTGTGCCCTGCCAACATAAACCGTTAGCGCAGGCGTATGCACCATTCCATTATTATCTATTAAAAAACTCACAGAGAGCCAATTAGACCCAAGCTAAACAAAAATTGTGTTATGGGTACTAGACAATTAATAGAACGATAAAAACAATCATACTTATGAATTACAAAGGTTAAAGGAATCTAACCCACGACCATCGGAAGTAAAGCGATGTGCTAAACCGCTGTTCTGTAGGACTAATCTCCAAATATCCTTTCAAATAAAATCTTTATTGAACTTACATATATTGCATAATAGCCAACATCGAAGTAACTTAGTACAAATAATAGTGATTCAACAATACTACTAAAATAAAACTATCTTAATCGATTTCTATACTGACCGATTTTAATCGACCGACCGAGTGACATATTTTTTGGTGGAAACACTAACGCTCCGCTTTCGGGGGTTACCAGATACTATATATAATTATTATGTAATGTAGTGGTGTGCACTTAAAAAATACATCGATATTTTTTTTTAAATATCGAATACAATCCACATAAATAAGATATTATATTTTTCAAGTCTAACGCAGAAGTTTGCTATCCTTTATTTTTTTGGCGTTTTAGTGTTTTGACAAATATATCGATGTCTTTAATATGAAAATTATTTGTCAAAACATTGAACCAATTCGATATATTTCAGATAGATATCGTATAGCAAGTTCTATACCTACATTGTATCGATAGCAAATAATACTAGAATCCCTATTCCCTATTGTCCACTCAAAGCCTATAGAGAAGAAAAAAATACATATACCAAATGTGTTCACTATTTATATTGAATAAAGTATTCTACTAAAACGACTTCCTGGAAATTTATCTAAAGAAATGAATATAACAATGGTTCATTATTACTTCTAAAATTGTGTCAATAGTGAAGTGTAATAATAAAAATTGTTCTAAACATAATTATACTTGGTAAGTCACTAGTGAGAGGTTTTTTACGAACATTACAGGTAATAATAATTTAGTAAGAATTTGTTATCTCGCAACTGACCAAAGAACTATGTACTGTACTTCATTATGGAAACCAAGTGACTCTTTGTTCTGTGCTGGAAACAATGTTTTCAATACTTAAACACTTTTTTCCCAAACACACAAGTTAGAACAACAACCAAAAACATTTTGGAAGCATTTCATCTAAGCTATGATGTATGTCACATCATGTGGACGATCAGCTTGTTTGCTGTTCCAATAATTCACCTGTTATACACATAAATGGGTACTGCTTGTAGGGCTGCTGTTGCTGTAATTATAAGAACAGATTTATTTTGCTACTCAAGTAACAATTCATTTATTTAAGTCAACTTTGCTATTTAGCAGTTAGTTATTCACACGAAATTATTAAATATGTATTTCTGAAAATTTATGTAAAAGAACAACAAATTTCTTTTGATGAGTCTCAAAAGTCTCAAAGATTCTCAAAAGGTATTAAGTTTAAATGAATAAAAATTATTTCTGTTTCTAATTACATAAAAAAAGGTTGAGTATATAATGAACTATATGGTATGGGAATGTAATGTATAGGAATAAAGGCCATATCTTAAGGAAGCTGTTCCGATTTGATATAAATGTGGACGGTTATAACGGCAGAGGAAGACTGAAAAGAGATTGATGATTGATTGATGAAAGATGATATGGTAAAAAATTAAATTACGAGACTGCGCACAGGGATGAATGGAAGAGAAAAACATATTATACCAACCACAAATAAATGGGATAAGGGAGAAGCAGATGATGATTTATAATGAACAACAGTTACTGCGTAGTTAAAAATTATATAAAATGAAAAACTCATGTCCATAAACAGCAAAACTAAGTAGTTATATATCTGATTTTATGATAGCATCTATCTTCACATCTTCTTTCATTCAAAAATTGTAAAAAATGTTATTTTGGTGTATGTACCGTATTTATATTCATATGCATGTAGTAAAAAATGGTTATTTCAATATTACAAACAGACCCTCCAATTTTATATATATGTATAGATATGGTTAGACCTACAAGGAGATTCACTGGCAGTTGTAATGTATTCCAATATTCCATCATACTGAATGAATACATGATTGAAAAAAACTTCAATCAATATTTCTAATCATACAAACTGAGATTAACATTACAAACACAAGCACAAACAGGCAGACAAAAATGTTAACTTCTATTCTTTTTTCAATATAAATATAATGTACTGACATTACTTGTTTTTTGTATTAGCTGTTTTCCATAACTTAGTCTGCTTTCTTTATTATTTAAACTGCTTTTTGGTCTATCCTCATGCTACAGAGTATCCATACACCAAGTTTCAAATAGATCATCAATTAGGACAGTCAAGTATCAAGTAGTGAAAGGTAACAAACACACAGACGGAAGCAGATTTTTACATTTATAATATTATTATAAAGGGGAGATGGAAATTGTTAAGTGGAATATAATCCCCATTGCTAGCAATGTACCATATCATATGATATGGTACATTGCTAGCAATGGGGATTGACAGTGGGGATTAACAGTGGGAATGACATGGGTGGTCAACGTATATACGTTGACCACCCATGTCATTCCCACTGTAAATGGTCCTGATAAATTCCTGGTAAATTTGCCACCAATCTGCCACTGATCTTATGTTCATCTTATCATCAGCGTAAACAGTTGGGACAGGAGAGTGCACCTTTCCGTTACCATTAAAAAAAATTAAAGATTACTACCCATGTTGATATTGTTAATATTAATTTTTAATAAGGTCAATTATAACAGAATATGGCAATAATGTGGTTGATTCCAAAACATCTAATGGTTACACAGTTGTTGTTCATTCCTGACAGTGTTTGTGCTTACTATTAGACATATAGAAAGTTGATCACTCGATTAAATTAATAAAAGTAATAAGAAGCATTTATTTTTCACTATAAATTGTTCAAAGATTACAAAGCAAACTGTTTATTTACTTATTTATTGATAATTAATAATTATTTATAATCAGATTAAACCTCAATTTAATTAATTATGAATTGTCCTTCTATTAACATAATAAATATATTATATATGTATTATATATATATATATATTATATATATATATATATTATATATATATATATGATTTTTGATATTATTCACCAGTGAACCAGAACCATGAGTAACAAAAAGAAAAATTATCTGGATTTGTACCTGACAGAAATACACAATCGCTATGTATCATTAAAAAAAGACCATAATGAAAAGGCACTAGATGTTTTCAACAGTGTTTTTGCAATATTCAAGAATTCTATGAAGAAATACTGTAATTATTTCAATCATTATAGTACTGAGGTAAGTGTGTATGTATATTTCTTTTTCATTAAAATTAAATTGACATTCGTTTTTAGAAGTGGAATATGGAATTGATTGATGACAAGTACATATTTACATTTGCTTATGTAAATATAAACCTATACATTAATTTTAACATAGGCTGGCCTATCTTTTCATCATAAGGGCAACCCAAACCATAAACTACACTCTAATTTTTTTTGTGTAGTTGATATGGCGAATTGCTTATAAATCCTTCCGTTGATTTGGAGTGCTATCTGCACTCGCCCCCTATCGTCCGGTGAATCTGTAAAGGCCAGCTTCGGTCAACAGCATTAGAGTAGTCGTAATAAAAGGCATTAAATCATTAATGTCCATAGCTGCCTTATCTCACCGAACACCCGAAAAAATCATTCAATGCAAGCCCCTTGGCGGCAGAATTAGGTGAGACTGAAAGAGATATCCACATAGATTACATTGTTTGAAGTCTATTTTGGTAAATAAAGATGTAAGTTTTTTCTAAATTTCTATCTACTATTTTCCAGGATATGCTCAGTGGTAGCGTTTACGATGGGACTAAGGTGTCGAAACTGGATGAATTTGACATGGACATCGTCATACGATTGCCCATCAACTATGATGAGGGCGAGAACGGCATCACAATTGAAAACGAAGAGGCCGGTTACGTGAAACTAAAGATCACCAATGCTTTTGACAACCTGGCGAAACAGAGCAATTGGGAGAACCGCCATGTCGTCATTCACTCGTGGCGGGACAACGAAGGTTATCTCAGACAGGACAAGTTCCGATCCTGGATACAAGGCGTAGCCCAGAAAGCCATGAACGAGTTCAATGGCCAAGTTACTGTTAATGGGGTGACATATTCGTTGGAGTCTTCGCAGTCCGGACCCGCATACACATTGAAAATTGCCAGTTTACCGAACGATCAGCCGTTCAAACTTGATGTGGATTTAGTGCCATGCATTAAATTTGATTTTTCCCGCTGGCCGGAAGGGTATAGGTTAGCTCATATAGTTATACTTATTTCGGTTTAAGATATTATAGATGTGAAATTGTCAAAGGAGAAGGAGAACATTGGAGAAGAATAGCAGACTGTTAATTATCTCTGCCTACCCCACAAGGGATCCAGCGTTACGGTAGATAGGTACTATTTGTTTCGCTCGATCCTGTAAGTGTTTTGCCATAACTTATAATATTAAGAGAGAAAATATTATACCCTTTTGCTGTGACTATTCCGCGTCCATTTCTAAGGGTATTGCTATTCTTCGTTTCGACATCTCTAGCACAGTTGAGTTCCGTAGTCACCTCGACGAAAAGGTCAAGTTGGCGTTCAAAAAGCTTGGAGAGTTCAATAGAGCGAGGCTACATTTCACTGCGGACCAGAGACTCCTCTTATATAAGTTACAGGTTCACCCGCATATGGAGTACTGCTCTCATTTTTGGGCAGGAGCATTTGGATACCAGCTCGGTCCTTTTGACTTAGTTCAGAGACGTGCTATGAGAATTGTAGAGGATCCCAATCTCTCAACCGGTATCGAACCACTTAGCTTGAGGCTAGACTTTGCGTCGCTTTATTTGTTCTACCGAATATACAACGGACTGTGTTCGGAAGAATTGTTTGACATAATGCCCAATGCAATTCATTCCCACACAATGGAACCTAAGTTGTCTAGGATAGTGCGACTTCAGAGGAGCTTCTTCCAGCGTGCTCTCCACTTATATTGTAAAATAAACTACTTGCTGAGGTGTTCTCGCGAGACTATAGCATGGGATTTTTAAAGAAGGGTATATTATGGCTTCTTAAGGGTCAACAACGCGCACGTGATAGACCTGGTGTTTCAGGTGCCCATAAGCTACGGTAACCGTTTACCTTTATCTAGTTCCCTTTAATTAATCTATTCTTCTATGTTACAGAAAGCCTGCCATACAAGAGCGATCAGAAGAAACAAATACAAATAAAGACAAGGTAAGACCAGACAAAACTTCCGAGCACTTTTGGTTAGCTGTTCCGAAACCAAACAAGGCCATTGAGGACCCAGAACGCCAAAATCGCTGCTGGCGTCTGTCGTTCCAGGATTTTGAAAGGGACCTTATGAGGGACTGCCAAAACCTTAAAACAACTATGAAATTGGTAGGTACTTCTCCTGTATATATATATATATATATATATATATATATATAGCAAATGCATGTATTTTGTATTTCAATATTGGTCCTGTATTTTACAATGTAGCGCTTAACATTAATTGCGGAGCGATATCGTAGAATAGCGGGCTGTGCTAATCCGTACCATATGTATGGACTCACAATTGAACAGACAGCCTCAGTGGTCTAGCGGTTTAGCACACCACTTTACTTCACGATGGTCGCGGGTTCGATTCCTCGCACGGTACAGGCACGGTTTATATTCATGACTATGATTGTATCCGTCTGAGTGTTTTCATTTTAAATTTTGAAAAAAATCAAAATATTTATATCAATTCTCTAATACCCATACACAAGCTCTGCTTACCTTGGATAACGCTTACGTTGTGTGAATTCTTAAAAAGAAAATTGTACTAGCTAATACGAATGATATGCAAATACTAGCAGCTGCCAGACGAGTGTAGGTACACTTATAGCGTATCTTCGACATATCACGCAAGTCCTCAGCAGATAAAGTTAAGGGGCTACTAAAATATCGTAACGTCTGCATTATCTGTCGCAACCGTTGTATAGAAGTAGTATATTACTAACAATATTATTGTATATTTATATAAATATCATACATGTATCAATACATATAATAATAATATCATATATAATCTATGGAATGTGGCATACAGTAACCGATTTGCATTTATACCTCTCCGATGATGGTAAACATTGATAAAGAATCAAATTAATCTGAGTGCCGCCGGTTATATCCCCCTCATACTGTCGTATTAAAAAATGCTCAATGAAACATGTCCTTCTGTTCCGATCACCACAACATCAACAGTAGATAATGTATCAGCAAGTAATGCTCCCACATAATTAATTGCTGCAAGTACAATTTCTCTTTTGACAGGTAAAAAAAATTCGTGACGTTCTTGATATGAAAGCTATAGCTAGTTATTTCATTAAAACGTTATTTTTATGGAAAATTTCCCAAACCAATAAAATGTATTGGAATACAAAACTTAGTGATCTCTTGAAGGCCATGTTGGAAGAACTGTATAACGCTATAAACAGAAAAAACATTCCGTATTATTGGCAAGAGGATAACAATTTAATACAGGCCTTAAGTAACGATCAGCAACAAAACTATACAAGAAGTTTGAAAGATGTCCTCGACAGCTTTCAATCAAATGACATGGATGGAATTTTAATTGCATTGCTCACAAAAGACGAATTGGCACAATTTAAAGGGTCTAATTTTTATAGAGGTGGCACTTCTAGGGCACCACGACCACAAAGGTCACAAGTAAATGTCGATGCTGATCGAATTGCGGTATTAGAAAATACACTGAAGGAATTGAATGAGAAACTAAGTGTACTCACAGTTCTAATGAATGACGAGCATATCGATGATGAGACCATTAATGAATACCGAGAAGTACGCGAGGAAGCATGTCAAATATCGAACGAGATAGAAGAATATAGATTCAAATACCCAACTGAACAAGGAAGAGGCTGGTGGAAAAAAGCACTTATGTTTCTTGCATTGTTACCGCTAGTGAACGATACGTCTCGCCGCCCTAACGAGGACACAGGACTACGGTTGCGCCACGATTAAGTTTCAACTAAAGTGCAAATGATTATTATAAGGTAATACGTTTCTTTTCGAACTACTCTAATGCTGTTAGCCGCAGCTGGTCTTTACAGCTTGGCCCAATGATAAGGAGCGAATGCAGATGGGACTCCCAACTCGTGGAAGGACTTATGCAGCGGCTGAAAGCCAACTCCCACCTGAGAGCACGGCTAGAGTTTCGAACCACAGCTCAAGCCGTCGTAATTTCGATCCCCGTTTAAATTAGACAGGAGATTAATCGAAGGGTACGTCTAATTTTTACATTTATATCATACTAGCTATCCACCCGCAGCTTCGCCCGCGTGGACATAGAATATGTAGGTTATCGGTCGTTTAAAGATCCATGTTCAGTAGTGGGACGTTATATATCCTAAACCTTCCTCTTGAGTCACTCTATCTATTTTGTCTTTTAAACATAAACGCATCAAAATCCGCGTAAATTATTAAGATCAAAACATACATAGGTCTATTACATAGAAGATATTTTAACCGGAAATTGAAGCCATTTAAATGGTATTTGCAGATCAGTTGGGATCATCGATATTCTTGGTATATGAGCTGGTTTCCCGGCTGCCGTGGTCCGTGCCAGTGGTAATGGTCGCTACAATTAAATTGTCCTTCAATTCCTTAGTAAGCCTCTGGTGGGTTGATTTCACAAAATCATGATTGGATCATGCTTTTGAGAAAATCAGATTTTTGACGTCAAATCGTATGATAGCAGTGCAAAAGGGTTTAGTCAGGGTTAAGTAAAAATTCCTGTCTATAATGAACTGCGTTTTCGATATTAGTCACGCTGTAATTTTTTATAGGTCCGGGAACTTTTTGAATAACAGATTATTTCGTACATTTCGCCCTAGATCACATCCAATGAAAACCTTTTTCGTGCAAATTCTCGTCAGGACATGGAGCATCTAACAAAATTTCTAAATTATCGATGATTTGACCTAGGGACTCATCCAGAAAGATATCTCAATTTCTGTTTAAATTTGGAGTGGGAAAATTCCTACCCCAAGTTTGAGCAGTTGTTGTGGGAAATCACTATCTGTGATTCCATGATGATGAGCTCTCGACACTCATATTCGTCCGTAATTTTAAACTTTCAATTAAAGTTTAGGTTAAGGGAGACGATGTTAATGACAGGGAGAGTCTGTCAGAAATCTCCAATAAATACAAAAGTAATCCCGCCCATGAGAGCAGTGCCGTTTCTAAGATATTTCAAGTTTCGATCCAAAGCCTCTATGGCTCATGGTGCATTTATCCCACATAATCAATGAGGCATCTTGTAATAATTTATCAAGAGACCCTATTTTCTGGATATAACATGAAGATTGTTGCTCAAAATTTACGGATAGCGGAAGTTAAAAAGTAGAATGAGCAGTTTTTCCATCCTTTAAGAGAGCTGCAGCAATTCCTGACGATGCAACTGCTATCGCTATCTTCCCCGATTGTATTATCTTAGCACGTATCCCCCTACGTGTGTAGACGTACCCCAGTGACGCCCCTACATCGCATTTGGTATTATTTATATAACAGAGGAGTAGGTTTTTTTTTCTAATACTTACATTGTTAAATACGTGATATCTTTCGAATGGAATGTCTGAATTGAATAATTCAAAAGTTATATACAGATATTGAAGCAGTCGGTAATATGAGGTAATTTATTTTGATAAGGATTAATACCAATATAGAAAATAAAGAGAAATTTCTAGCAGAGGCGCTTCAATTAAATTTATAAACAAAAAAAAACACTTATTGTGACGTAACTTTGATAGATAGACACATGCCGTCGCTACACATTTTTTTAGGTAATTATGTGCTCTGCAATGTTGTAGTACATCATTTTGTTCTATCATCAATAGTTTTCACAGCGCATGCGTTGTTACGTATTTTTTGTTAAATTTTTTTACACCTTGGGTTACATTATTGGAGATTTGGTAAGGATCCCTAATTTTTTTGGAAATATAATATAGCCTATGACACTCACGGATAGTGTAGCTTCCTAATGGTGAAAGAATTTTTCAAATCGGTCTAGTAGTTTTGGAGCCTATTTAATACAAACAAACAAATTTTTCCTCTTTATAATATTATTGATATATATATATATATATTTTCTATAATGTATACTATGTGTAATTAACCTAATAATATCTATTTATATTCATCATCATCATATTGTTTCCACTCAGCTTTGTAGCATGTTTTATGCAATCAGTATGAAATAGAGAAAGGGCGCCACTTAAAAGTAATAATAATTAAAAGAAAACGATAGATAAACAAATAAAACTGAAAAAAAAATCGATACAAATTAAAAAATTGGTATACATTACATTACCCTCACATAGTGTAGCTTACTACACTAATCTAGGCATACGTAGTGTTGGATTACAATCCAGTTTTGTACCGAACTACACGCTCCTAATTATATTATTATATTGCTTGTTCTATCTGTTTTGTGTGCTAATAAATAAATAAAAAATCGCGGTTAATCCTAATGCTTTTGCCACGATGGGCTCATTAACCTGACTTTATGGTTATCCTACTATCTTACTTATGCCCCGACAGCCAATACCAGTATTTCCCAACGTGGGGCCCACGTCCTACGGATAAAAAATTTAGAAATGCTGAGGTGGATAACTGCACAAAAATGGTTGGGAAACAGTACACTACTCTACACGTATACTATTAATGTAGGTGGTTGTTCCATTATTATAAACCACAGAACAAAGAGACGTAGTCTGTGTTATACACTATCGACAAATCTTTTAATTTCGCTGCTTTTACTATACTATAACATCTCCTCTTGAATCACTCTATCTATTGCTGAAAACTGCATTAAAATCCATTGTTTAATATTAAAGATCTAAGCATACAGACAGCGGCGCCAGCGGATACTTAGTAAACTAATTTTTAAAGATTTTAAAAAATACACTGTCTGGGTTAGCCATGGTGACAGTATATTATTACTGTATGTACATTTCGGTTAAATAGAAAAATGGCAGTATTCAAAATGTACATTTTTTACAAGACAAGCATTTAATGTTTTTAAATTAATTTAAATTATTTTTTCCTTTAAAGTTTTAAATTTACACAGAAGTATTATATATCATTTTAAAAGTATTTAGATAATGATTAAGACGGCGTTCTAGCTTCTAATTTTGAAGAAGAACTTTTTCTATTAAAACCAATGAAAATTTGTACTTCTAAAACAAAGAAGAAATGTGAAGATTATTTATGTACCTAATTTAAAATAGTAAACTAGCTGACGACCAACCTGATAGTAAATTCTAACGGTCACCTATATTCATGAAGAGCAACGTCATGTCACGTGACGCCCATGATAACATTAATGTGTTGCCATTCTGGAGAGCTAAGATATTATGACTCCATATCCTGTAGTTTCACTGCCCTATCTAAACTCTTCTACAGAAACAGCTTACAAACTGTTTGGCGCGTGTAATAGGTGAGACTGAGGTCCCCACATAGATTTATTTTACAGTCTGCCTTTATGGTAAATCCTTAAAATATAGCAACAATAAATTAAAACCTTCAACACCTAAAATGTGCTTTCTTTCTTTAACAGGTAAAGAAAATGCGCGACACACTCAAACTGAAAACAATCGTTATGTTTTATATAAGAACGTTATTTCTGTGGAAGGTTTCAGAAACAAATAAGGAATACTGGGACAAGAACCTTAGCGTTTTATTTAAGGCGATTGTTCAAAAGCTATATGATGCTTTATGTGAGAAGAATATTCCATGTTTCTGGCAGGAACAACGCAACTTGATTGAAAATTTGAAAGAAAATCAAAGACTGGAATATATGGCGAAGATAAAGGATGTTCTCGACAATATAGAAGCAGGAGAAACAGATAAAGTGTTGGCGTCATTGCTAAATCGCAGGGAGTTGTCAGACTTCAAGAAGTTGGACATTTATAAACCGCAGTCTACAGCTAGTGGTCACGAACAGGGAACAACATCTGCTAATGTTAAAGAAGAACTTGTGACGAATGTGTACAAACAAATGGACAAATTACTGAAAAATGTTAATGGCCTTAGTGAAACGATAAGTAATAAAAATTTTAATATTAACACAGCGAGCAGTTCAAGAAGAGCGCGATCCAATGTCTTCCAAAGAGACAGGTCAGATACAAGTGATGATTCAGACTGTTCTACAAGATCAGAAAGTGATAACCAAAGTGGCTGTGTAATACAGTGATCTGTGAATGTTATAATTATTTATGTATTTATTAATTGTTGAATTCTATTAGTTTTTCTAAATAATATCGTAATATGCAGATCTGAATATAATGCCCATGCATGAATTACGTCACAATTTATTTTGAGGGGGAGATGCCCTAAATTTTGTGACGTCACATTGCTTTAGCTTGTTAACGAGATTACTCTTGCTTTAGTATTTAGTGTAAAGCTAGCTGTTAGACACGAGTTTAGCAAGAACCACTGATAATATAATATTACATAGCAAGAACAAACAGGCAAACAAACAAAAATTTTTTTGACATAAGTACCGTTTGTATTTAGTGAAAAGCTGTTATTTGCAATTTTATCGATTTTATTTATTTGTATAGATTATAAAATATGTGTCGTCAGAATAGGGAGGAAGGGGAGGTAGTCGTAAATGTGATCAGGGGACACAAGGGTGGGTAGGGGTTAAAAAAAATTGTAACATTTGACATAATTTATAGATAGTCCCATATCTCAATGTATCAGTTGATTGTAATAGATTTTATTAATTATTTGTATTTCTTAAACCTGCAAGGATTTACTGTAAAAATATATTATAGATTATTCATATACGTTTATCATTGTCCATAACAAAGTACTGTAGTTCTAATTATGTACTTATTTAAACATAATAATGCTCTTTTGTATATTTTCTACGTCGGGAATGTCTCATATGAGGTTGCGTACAATTTAGACAGTGTTGTAAACTGTTTCTAGTTTTTCAAGCTATATTTCCAAATAAAAAACGAAGTGTGAGAATATTTATTATAATATTTAATTTTATATTGTGGACATATTGATTTTAAACAGCTTTTATTTGCTCCATGTGATTTTAAGTAGGTGTGAGTCTACGTGACTCACACCTACTTAAAATCACATGGAGCTGGAGATGTATTTAGTGATAAGAGGTTACAAGTAATAAATTATAGATTTAATGCTATCAGGAACTTCCTTGGTTCTTAAACTCAACTCGATTAGATCAGCTCTTACAACTATTTTTCATTACACTACTAAACACAGTTTACATGTAAACTATTAAAAACAATTGTAAAAATCTTTATTGCTTATATCATTAGCGGCTACGTCGGAGCCGCTATTATTTGTTTATTGGGTTCTTTGTGGTAGCAGCACCAGGAAGAGAATGAGACCAGATGGTGGCTGTGTATATATTTATAATATAGAAGAATTTACAATTGATATATACATATATATCAATTGTAAATTCTTCTATGTACAAAAAAAGTTATTCAGTCTCGAAATGACAGACCTGACAAACACATTAATGTTATTCTTCAAGCCCCATCGTAATTAGGCAACGGTGTCGCCGCACAATGATAGTAAATTCACCACATATCTTTCAAATTACGCTATTATTAGTGCCTTTCTGGTATAGTGTAGAATTTTATGGAAATAAGAGGTCTAAAACGTCGTGCCTCTTGTAGCTTTACAATTGGAGTGCAGCTTACAAAGCAAACTATTTGGTGGCTGTAATATGTGAAACGAGTTATCCATTTTAAATCTTAGAGATGTCATAAATACAATCAGGAACGTTCGGCTTGTATATATCTTTTACTACTAACCCTTGAGATTTTTTATTACTAATCGTGTTGATTCTATTATACCTACTTTGTAGTTATACAACTAGTACATTATTATAAATAATAATTATCCGTACAATTTTAACATATAACGGTATATGTTAAAATTGTACGGATTTTTGATAAATGCTGTTATTTTTTATTTTTATACTGTTCTTTTGTGAATGTGATGATAAAAATTGAAAATAAACTATATAAGAGAGGACTCATTATTTAATAAAAAAATATTTGATTCATATATTCCCAATATTTTTTACGTTGTGGTCCATTATCCAGACTTTAGGACGGATAAACATCAAACATTGTGGTATTGTATCTCCTTGTATGAAATTACTATATAACAGATTTAAGAATAGTCTCCTGTGCTCGTGAATATCCGTGAAGCAGCGAGGCATGCAATAGGACTGGTATACTTAATATAGCAGTTAATATTTTTTTAAGTATCTTGTTAGCCCACTGCGAATTTCTAACAAGTAGGCGGCATGGATCGCAGGCTTAGCCCTTCCTAACAGGGTAACTCGGCGATAAGGGGAAGGTAGAAATTGGTGACAATAATGTAACGTAATTTATAGATATCACTAAGTGCCTCTCTAGCTAGCTCGTAAAACGTGATTATATAAGATTATAATTTCAGCTAACCATTCCCCGCCAGCAAAAACCGTTGACATAGATACTGGACTGAAAATTAACAAGATATATATTTCTTACTATGGTAGACTCTCTTAGCCTCTATGCTCTCTAAGAACAATACTATTATGCTAAGATTCACTGTAGATTTCAATTATAAGAAATATAGAATTTGGCAAAATCTATTCACCACGCTGGAAAACTATTGAAAATAAACTGGGGAATAACATTTCAAGATTGCTTGTTTAAGTTTCTACTTTTACTACTAAAATAGTAGAAGTAGTGCAAACATGTAATCATTATACATGTATTACAATTACATGTACACATACATATATTATGTTTGGTAAAATTATAACCCTGTAGTACATTCTGCTTTGGAATATATTCCAAATAAATCTATATAGTATATATATACTATATAGAATAATTTTATAGGTAGTAAAATTAAATGAATTAACTTAAATAGTATAAATAAATTATATAGCTAGTAACATTTATTACCGGCACAGTAACAGATGATTACGACTGACAGTCAGAAAATAGAGACAGCGAATAGTTATATTAGTTGATAAGTGAACTTTATGCGTATACATATTTTACATTGCTACTAATAATAATCAATAAACTTTACTTCAGTTACCGTCTTCCGCACGTCTTAAGATTCAAACAGTCGGCAATACTACTTTTACCCTTCGTCACCAGTCACACTAAATACTTGAAATAATAAAATAAAGTCATATTTTAACTCATCTGACTGCAGTTGTTATTGCATATTTATTAAAGAAGTGAACTACTGAGTGGAAATTTATAAATTATTAAAGCGGATATTAAATATACTAAGCTTATACAAAAGGTAAGTAGTACTTACATTATGCATATATTTTATATAAAATGTATTGTTATCTTATGATATTCATATAATTTATGGTCAAGTCGTTAAGAGCCGGATGCTATTGCCTGCTACCATAGCTGAGTGCATGCCTTGTCCTTTTATTTTGTTCTAAATAAAAAAAAAGAAAAGTTTTAGTCAATCTTGGACATTGTGTGTTCTGAACAAATGTGTGGTAAGAATAATATGTTGGTTTTCTTATCTATGTCTCCATTATTAATATAAAAAAATATGAAATTTTACAACTGCTGGTTTATACTGATTGGACATTTTATTATTGTTACAGTACTATGCTGACAATTTCTTTAGCTTAGACCAATTATTATATACCATTATATGAAAATGACCTGCAGAACTAAGTTCCTTTGTTTAATATTTTAGTAAATACACTGAGGCTTTGTTCAGTATCTCATTGGGTGCAGTTTATGATTACATACATATTTTTATTTCAAAGTGGACCCTATTTACATACTATATTTTATAACATTGTAAGGACCTCTCTCATGACATCTTTAATAGTTGAAATCATTATTTATTATTCTCCGTTTATTATTTTTTGTGATGGTACCTACAATAAATTAGACCATTATGTTCATTTACATAGGTCTTTTGTAAAGTCCATGTCATAAATTACTACAGGACTATAACTACTAATTATTACTTACAATCACTTTCACCGTGTATTAATTTTTTTTGGATGAATATGGAATTGAAACCATTGTGATGCACTAATGGAGGATGATATGAATTTAATTATGAAGATGAAGTCAGGTCAGACACTCCATGGTGTAAATTCAGCAGGAATTAACCATGATGATTAAAAAAACTAAAGGTTCTCGGAGAGCTCTTTAGTCTCCATTACTAACAATCCTCTCTCCCTTTCAATAGGAGGTTTTCATGAATATACTAATGATTTAACATATATCATCAAAAGAAAAAATATATTAATATTTACAGATTTAAGAATATAAATCTGAGAGCCCATATTAATAAAGCCGAACGAATTTCTACTTTATTATTTTATGATGATGGTTCATATTCAAAGTTTATTTTGCAAATAAGTATACCAAATGACTGCATTCACATACAAAACAATTCACTACAGGAATTCTTATCTGACACATTGATACAACAGTTGTTGTGTGATATATTTTGTTAAACAATGAAGTTGTTATACTAATTTTATAACAATTTTCATGTAACAGTTTATATCTTATCTATATGTATATTATCAGTTTTACATATTTCAAGAAATATGTAATGATAGTACAGTGAATGAACTTGATGATTGATAGTGTAGTTGAGACCAGCACCCCCATTCTTAGCAGTTTACCATGATAGACATGTACCATCAGCTCATCCAGGTGGAAACCATCTGAGTATTTGCTTAGTAATTTTTATGTGTACTTCTAAATTATTTTAATATTTAAACCTATATTAAGGATTGTAATATGTTTATATTTAAGTATATTCATTATATTTAAGTATATACATAGATATATGTTAAAAAATACTTTAATTTAGAAAATGCTTTAATTTATTCAGATGGTGGACTCAGTGTCCTCCGAATTGTAGACTATTTTGTCTCGCTTATTAGCTCTTAATTTTATTATAAGGAGCAATCGTAACAGTTCATTATTTGAAATAAAGATGATTATTATTATTATTAATAATACTTTTCACCTTAAGTTTTTTGTGAAGATTTCCTGATGTATTCAAACAATTCATGTTTCCCCAGTGAACCATGAGCTCTACTAAAAAGAACAAGAACCTACTTGACTTGTACCTGTCAGAGGTCTTCAAGAATTTTGTTGCGCTTAAAGATGACGATGTTAAGAAGTCGCAAGAAGTGTTCAAAAGTGTGTTTGAACAAGTTAGAGTGGCCATGGGAAAACAATGCAAATATTTCGAATGCTACAGCAGCCAGGTGAGGAAATAGATGTATTTATATGCATAACAGATATCCTTAATCCGTACTAATATTATAAATGTGAAAGTAGGGATATTTGTTACGCTTTCACGCAAAAACTACTGAACCGATCATGAAATTTTCTACACATGTTCTTGAAGTTATTAAGTATAATGAACATAGGATACTTTTTTATATAAAAAAAATATTTTTATTCAATGCGAGCGAAGCCACGGCCAAAAGCTAAGGATATCCTTAACCTAATTATGTATATAACTAAAAATAAAGAAAACTTATTAGGTACAATTTAAATCTAACGTAACTACATATATAACACTAGCGTACTTTATATTTTGGTTTCTGAAAATACAGAATATTAATTTCCATTCAATTATGTGCCTACTACGCCTGCTTCCAGCCATATACTCTTTATTCTACTATGTTAAATTTTTACTTAATTCTCTAAATCGTATCTCAAAAATTAGTTTTTAATTATACAACTTTAATGTGCAGAATAAAAAATAAAAATAACGGACTTAAGAGTTTTCTCGAGACGAGAAATAGGCGAAAAGTTGAGACGAGAAAAATCACTGTAGAAAGCAAGAAATCGAGATTTTTTTAATTTAAAAATATATCTTATAAAGCGCGCGTAATACTCTATGCCTCTACACAGTACACAGTATGTACCTACTATTTGTATGCGGAGCAGGGCAGCGTGGGATAGTATTACTCTGCCTTGCTTGCTATCAAACTATTAGAACATATTTTTGAAAAGAATACGAACTGAGTTTCTTATCAGTTCTTCTCGTCTCGAAATCATTCCGAATTGACGGTAGATTTCACTTATCATAAGAGTTGGTAATGTACCTACTTGAATAAAGATATTTTGAATTGGAATTTAGAAGTTCAAAACTTGCGAACTAAATAAAGCGCCGAAAAATAAAATTCCCCGTATTTAAACATTTCAAATGTTGATTTTCAAGAATTTGAAATATTCTGCGCGGCCCATGTTTCAAGAAGCGCGCGCCCTCTATCACCTTCTAGATTCAACTTGAAAGAAAAAGACTAGTCAATTAATTCAAAGTTACAAATTCTTGTCATAAATAGAATGGAATAGAAAATCATCAATTATTCAAATAAACTTAATTTTAAAACTGTTGAATAGCCATAGTTATCATTCTTTTAAACTACTGCTCATTTGGAAAGTTGTCTCATCACAAGAAGAACGGGCAAGAAGATTCGAAACGTGTTAATACAAACCACCAACTAGCACTAACTTATTAGCTTCAGATATTAATTACACAATAGGATTAAAACAGTCGTAGTGATTAGCGCAGACCAGTCCCTACAAGCAGCACTCGTTCACGAATATAACGTATGAGCCAGCCATCACTGTGCTCGACCATATTTTAGGGGGCCCAATGACCCGGCCCATAACGCCGCCACATGTCTGAACATTTTAGTGAGAGTTCTGCTTTTCTCAAGCAATAAAATATGGCGAGAAATCGAAAAGCCTAAACGGGCTTTACACCTTGCGGCATTTTTTACCAGTCAACCAGAATTATGGTGCCAAGTATTCAATGTCGATAATATAATTTACAGGTTATGTACGGTGGTAGCGTTTACGATGGGATTAAAGTATCGAGACTTGACGAATTTGACATGGACATCGTCATACGATTGCCCATCAACTATGATGAGGGCGAGAACGGCATCACAATTGAAAACGAACTGCCCGGCTTCGTGAAGCTAAAGATCACCAAAGCCTTTGACAACCTGGTGAAACAGAGCAATTGGGAGAACCGCCACGTCGTCACTCACACGTGGCGGGACAACGAAAGTTATCTCAGACAGGATAAGTTCCGCTCCTGGATACAAGGCTTAGTCCAGAAAGCCATGAACGAGTTCAATGGCCAAGTTACTGTAAATGGAGTGACTTATTCGTTAAAGTACACGGCGTCCGGACCCGCGTACACATTGAATGTTGCCAGTTTGCCGAATACTGAAGATGAGCCATTCAAACTTGATGTGGATTTAGTGCCAGTCATTAAATTTACTCATCCCCGCTGGCCAAAAGGGTACAGGTGAGTTTAACCACTTATTAAGTCGTAACAAGAAATAATATTCCGGATATTTTCATGCTATCATCCACTATTGGTACCCCTATGGCAGGTGAACCATTATCTTATCGGCTGTAATTTTTGGCCGTTGACCATATGCAAATGATCTATACTAATATTACAAAGCTGAAGCATTTGTTTGTTTGAACGCGCTAATGTCAACTACTGGTTCGAATTGTTTTTTTTTTTACAATATATATACAAATGTTTGTACTGTGCGAGGAATCGAACTTGCGACTATCGGAATGAAATTGCTAGACCACCGAGGCCATCATCATAATTATTTATCACTATCCCTACCATCCAATTCGGCTAGCTACTCTGAACTTGAGAAATGTATCAAGAAATTTTATAATAATTTTCAAACTTTAAAAGAAACGCTCAGAAGGCATACGATACTCTGCGGCGGATCAATTAGCCAATTGAAACGTCTAATTAAACCGCAAGCACAACTATTTAGGTAGGTATGGGTTTGAAGCTTCTGTACAAACCGCAAAGCTACGTCATCAATGTATACGTGAGGATAAACGTGACTCGGTCGCACAAAATGACCGCTGAAGCAAATGATTTTACCTCACAGTTGTCACAGATCGATCTATTGTATCTCAGCGGGAATCACGCACAATTAGCTACTTTTCCCTTTGTTCATCCACAAAGGCAAACCACAATGTATTGTATAATTTTTATTTTATTAATTAACAAACCTACATAAAAATTTTCAATAGATAATATTGTTTAATTTAATAATAATCGATTTTATCAGGACAAAGTCTAATATGATGACGTTGTGCTACACACGCACTCAATTAATAGTAGTGGTGGTAATTTTTAATGAGGTTTACTTTGTACAAGATTATCTGCGTGTCTACTTTTGTCTCATTACTCGATAGATATATATTATTTTCTTTAATTCCGCTACTATAATTTGGATGCTATGCTAACTGTTCGACGATCAGACTACGACTCTTAGTCATGGCTTGGCTTCCATACGCTATTCTTTGCCTGATGATGGTTTAAGGAAGCACGAGTTGCAATAAGTATATAGATCCAATAACGCTTTGACCAATAATGGAGAAGGTCCTCCTGAAGGTCGAAACCTGACCACTGCTACTGGAAGCTTTACTTCCGGTAGCGGTGGTCAGGTTTCCGCACTGAATATTTGTGGTCTCGCACATGCAGTAGCGGAATTAAACAAAATAAATAATCCATTGAATAATAAAATACAATTCCGCGAAGTAATATCTAATTCAATATAATATATACTTCTGTCTGACCTAATTATGCCACCAAGCAGATTATAAAAATCTGTGCTGCGTCTTGGAGGTTCGGGTATGACAGTACCTATTTCATATTATAGTCACATATAGTTCACGTAACTACGTGATGTCCGTGGTTGATCATGTTGTTACATATATAGCCGACGTTTGCCAATTTCCATCAGGTGAACGTGATGTCCGTGGTTGATCATGTTGTTACATATATAGCCGACGTTTGCCAATTTCCATCAGGTGAACGTGATGTCCGTGGTTGATCATGTTGTTACATATATAGCCGACGTTTGCCAATTTTCATCAGGTGAACGTGATGTCCGTGGTTGATCATGTTGTTACATATATAGCCGACGTTTGCCAATTTCCATCAGGTGAACGTGATGTCTGTGGTTGACCGTGTTATTACATATAGGTATAGCCGACGTTTGCCACTTTCCATCAGGGAGCCTATTAATTTGTTTGCAATTGCATTAAAATATCTGCATATTAAGGCAATAGTACTTACACCACATTGTAATTGCGTGCAATGTGGAACTCATGTGCTATTCTTGACGACCAAGATTTTAAGGCCTCCTTGCCTTGAATTTCCAGGGTTATAACTTATCCTGAAACTGGAATGCCGAATACAGCTACTGGTGGGAGAATAAGGTGAGACTATAGATGCAGGCGATGTTAAAAATTGTTGTTAAATGATTGCAGACAACCTAATGCTGTCACCGCCAAAGATTGGTTAGTGGTACCCAAACCAAACAAAGACATCACAGATGGACAACTGCAAAATCGCTGCTGGCGCCTTTCGTTCCAGGACTTCGAGAAGGAACTTATGAAGGGCTGCCAAAACCTTAAAACAACGATCAGATTGGTATGTACTCTGTGTATTATTTGCATTGTGTTCATCTTTGATTAAACATCGCTGCTATGAGTGATTTTACAGCGCTAAAAGAATCATTTGGGGTCATTCATACGTTACACATTAAAGGTCACGTTGATAAATTGGATTTCAAACGGTCAGTAAATTTGACTTCACTGACCAATTGTAATCCAATTTCGTGTAAAAAAATCATAAAATCTAGAACCCAGTGCGTCCTAGATTTTGAGATTTTAGTATTAAAATACAACATTTTTAAATATTACTTTAATTATATTAATTTATGGATAGCCCCTTACAATGATACACCCACCATTATTTACAACTTTTATAACGAAACTCCATTTGCTGTTTATCTAACACGATGCTGCTCACCATGTAAATATATTTTGTCATTAAAATCATATTGCATTAATATCTGTGCATTGATTAACTTAAGTTAATCAATATTTCATATCCGATGTATCCTCACTCCACTCCAACTGGGATCGAAATTACGACAGCCTGAGTAGACGTTCGAACTCCAGGGATGCCCTTTTTTATTTTAAATATACACTTTCCCCGGATAATAATTTCCAAGCTTTTTACAAACTGAATTCAGTTATACACATACTTCTTACATCATAGGTACTTCGTCTAACTACAAACTAACTGAAAGCATACGTACTACAGGCTGGTTACTTTTTATCTACCCTAGGGTGCCCGTAGACTGAAATCGTATTCGTCATTCCCGTAAGTCCCTACGCGGGTTACGAGTGCCCTTTACACTCGGCCCTATTTCATCCGGCGAATTTATAAAAGGCGTGTGGTTTGCGGCCAATAGTGTTAATATAGATCTGAAAAAAACGTAAGAAAGAAATTATAATAAACGATAATACATTTGTTATAACTAATATGTACTTAAAAAAATATATTATTTAGTTAATTGTAAATCATTGTCTACTGAATGTTAAAAGCGCTACGTTGAGTTGTAAAACGTATTTATGAAAGTATAAAACATTTCCAATTAATCAAAGTAGAAAATTGAACATATATTTTAATACCTTTATACAAATTCGCAGTTACATGATCAGTATTGTATAAAAAGGTCATAATTTATATTCATATTTATACTTGTATGAAAGTGTTTTAGTTCTATGAATATTTTACACAGTTTTCGACTTTCCATATCAGTATATTAATTTATATGAATTAATAGTACCTTCTTAATATCTTCAATGAACACATCATAGATCTCGTCGACGGCTTCCACCAAAGCCTTAGAGTGTAGCTAATAACCTTGAGTATACAGAATCACGTACGTGGGTAAACCCACTGATAGAAAGAGTCATGAACAAAAACTTTAGCCATGGTAGTAAAACTAAAAATGACAATAATACACTTATTAAATTTTAAGTTAACACAAAAAACATGATATCAAAATTTCAGATAAACTGGTAAGTTTCTTACTCATAATAAAAAAAAATCTTATTTAGTTTTTAGACTTTAATATTATCACGTTGTGGCACTATAGTTAGGACTAACGTACCTACCTTTGTTCAGTAATAAGATTATCTATTGTTGCTATACTGCTATATATTTTGTTATTAGTTGTTTATTTATGCTATACATACATAGAATAACATATGCACAACAAGTTCTATTGACCCATATTACTATGTATATAATTTTTATATATATTTTTTAGTGACAGTTATATTAAAAAAAAATATTACATTGTAAGTAATGAACACCAATAAAGAATACTAACTGTAAATTGCGAAGTTGCTAACGTTCAAAACCCTCTAACCATTGTGGGCCTAAGATCTTCATCTACATCTTGAGCCAAAGATCTTCATAATTACATATGCATAAAATAAAAAGATACAATTGTATGAGACGATTTTGATCTTAGTTGTTCTCACTTAATTATGTCAGGAAAAATTATATTTTAACAGGTAAAAAAAATGCGTGACGTTCTCGATCTGAAAGCTATAGCTAGTTATTACATTAAAACTTTATTTTTATGGACAATATCAAAAAACGATAAAAAATATTGGGAGACAAAAATTAGCGTTCTCTGGAAGACCATGGTAGAAGAGATGCTTAACGCAGTAATGGAAAAGAATATACCGTATTTTTGGAATGAACAGAACAATTTAATTGAAGGTTTGAAAGATTCTCTGCAACGCGAATATGTAAGTAAATTAAAAAATGTTCTCGATAGTATTGAATCGAATGACATGGACAAAATTCTGCGGGCATTGCTTACGAACAACGAATTGGGAAAGTTCAAGAAGTTTGATTTATATAAAAATCATCTTTCTACAACACTGAATAAGAAAGGATTCAATAAATCACCACTTGATAATAATATTGTTGGGCATTTAAATAATAAAATAGTGGAGTTGATGAACAAATTTGACGAACTCACAGAGAAAGTGAATAAGTTGAAATTAGATGATAATTTGAACATTGAATATATGAAAATTGTGCACAAGGATGAAGAAATTTTAGAAGAAGTAGAAGAAATTGACCTTTATGATTATAATAATCCGAAAATCCTCAAATTAAGAAATGGCAGGAAAGGTGATCATAGAGTTGCATTTAATCGATAAAAGGTACGAATTAGAAGTGTCATGTGTAGTTAAAAGAAACAAACATATTTTTTTGCAGGTTATGGGACTGTTAATGATGATCCATTTATGTTAGATATTGAAGACTTCGTTGTGATTGATATTGTTGAGCGGTGATAACATACTCATTTACTCTCGGTCTCAAAATCTTTGTCTTCATTTAGACAAAAATAAACAGGTATCCTTTCCTCTATAGTGGATGAACAATTAATATTTTTTTCGTATACTGCTTCATTCAATATAATTTGCCGCTCCATATAAGTTCGTCGAGATCGTAGATCACAATATAAAAGATAATAATAATAAGTTTATCACTTGTACTAAAATATTTTATAAAAATATTTACTTGTTGAATATTAAAATCATTAAATTCCATTTTACGAATACTTTTCTTTTAGTTAATACAATATATAATATTACTGAACATGCGATATGATATTACATTTTCACTTTTAAAGATAAAAAAATCTTTAAAAGTGGGAATCGTTGTAGTTAAAGGTTAAAGGTGGATTTGACATCTGTTATTACAGACTCATGATATGTCAAATCCACCTTTAGATAGGAGTGCTTTCGAACTAATAATATTATGTATAAATGTTTTGTGTATTTAATTGTCTATTGTAATAAGCTTTGTGTTCATATCGTTTTAAGATATTTGTAATAATAACACCATTTGCGTAATTACAGCCATTTTTCTAAAAGTCTCATTGCTGCACTACGTAGATGTAATCGCGACAATATATTATCATTTTTATAATAATAATACTCGTAATTTAGATTGCATCTACGTCAGACGTTTGTTGACATTAAGTTTACCTATTTGTGATTAAAGGACTTTAGTGGATGAATATGGAATGGTGCACCCGAATGCTTTAACGGTATATAGGTGCGATAGCGGTGGAATTTTTCAGTTGACAAAGTGTTAGATCAATTTTTTTTGTCTCGGTATAACTTTATTTAGTATAAAATTTATACCCATAAAAAGATAACAGTACATATTATACAGAGGTTAGAACTAACAAATAAAATTTAAGTAGGATACAGTAAGAAGCTTTAGAGTTAGTAAAAGAACAAAGACAATAAAGAACCGGTATTTAGGAGTATTGATATTGTTAGTTATCGTTGAATAAATGCAGTTTCATTTAATATATACTGTTAATACCGGCAATTAAATGTAAGGTGGTAACACTGACACGTAAATTAATAGATGGATTGACATTGAAGTGATGTAACAGACCTTTAAGGTTCGAGTGATTATTAGCAAACAAGAATAAGGGAAAAGGTAATTGTAAATAATTGAGGCATTGGATGCCAGATTTAGTGGGACAGGGGAAGTAGCACAAGTGGTGAAGGTGAGTGTTAATGTTAAAAGAGCCCTAGAAACTTTAAACCAACACTAGAGAGAAACGAGGCCATACAAGTAATAGTTGTCTAGTGAAGTTTTACTACAGTATAGAACTTTATTGTTATAATGATTATTACTATTTCTATATATTCGTAACATGACATTCATAAAAGTAAACATTACTCATGAGGAAAGGTCCCAAATATCTAAGACATATTGCGAAGCAACATAAAAGTGTTTTGTTGGTCTATTAAAGTACAAGGAATAATATATATAAGAAACAGTGCTTTAAATGAGAGTTACAGTAAGAACAAACAGATTGCCAGTTCCTGGCCCAACTAAAAATTTATTAGAAGTTTCAACTAAGATTGAACACTTAGATAAAGTAAAAGATGTTCACCATAATATTAAAACAGACTATGGCAATAAAGTATTAGCATAAGCTAAAAGGGAGTAGTTAAACGAGGGACAAAGACAAAAAATAACATATATCGCAATTTTTTTACACATTCGTGCTATCAGTTGACGACGCTATAGCAAATATAAAGGAAATACAAAGTTTTTTAAGTGTTTACGACGGATACTCTTCAACCAACCTTCCAAACCACATCTGACTTTCACTGAGCTTTATAACACAAAATAACCTCTGACTCGCGGCCTGTTGTTTGCCCAAATTTTACCTACATAATAATATACTAATCGCAACTGTGTGTAAACTGTTGATGTTTGGTTAAATTTCTACATATATAATTTAAAGTATTGTTTTATCTCATGCCGATTAATTTCATCTTTATGATTTGTGACTAACACTATACTATTTTCATTCTCACTATAAATTATTGGATGATTTGATTTTTATAATATGTTTGCACTATAGAACTGTTATTGAAGATTATATTTTTAACAGGTTAAAAAAATGCGCAATGTTTTAAATCTGGATGATATTTCAAGCTATTCAATTAAAACTTTGTTTTTATGGAAAGTCTCTGAAAATGATAAGAAATTTTGGGATAATAAAGTAAGCTTCCTATACAAAATTATGGTTGAGGAGCTGTATAATGCAATAAAAAACAAAAACATACCATATTTTTGGAATCAACAACACAACTTGATTGGCGGATTAAAAATATCTGCAGCAAGAGACTTATTGTCAAAAATTTCTACTGTTCTAGAGGATATCAAATCAAACGATGCAGAAAGACTATTGCCCTCGTTACTTACAATTGAAGAAGTTATAAAATTTAGAGAATTAGATTTTAACGCGCAGAAAAATAGATCAGCTGTTAACAGAAATAGTCGCAATAATGATCCTGTTGATATAGCACTTTTAAAGGCTTTTCAGCTTCAAATGGAAGAAATTTCAAAAAAGGTCGAAGAATTGAATATGAAAATTAATAGTACTACAGTAAACGAGCATTTGATAGAAGAACATCGAAGTCTTGTACAACAGTACGACGTTATCCAGGAAGAGGCTAGGAAGAAGGGCTTCTGGGAAAAAATAGGGGATAATATCCATGATAATTTTCATGCCAGGGGTGGAGTGGAAAACTTTGCTCAGCAATTTATGGACCTAGTCGATTAGTCAAATCATAAGCTTTAGTCACAGCACTGCTTCAAAATCATAATGAATTACAACACAAATATAAAATACTGGTATCATTGTCATCCTTGGCTGGAGTTTGCAAAAGAAGTTACGACAGCAATACTTCAATCGACATTTTGCCATAAATATTAATTTTCCACCCTACTCGGCTCACTCTATTTTCTTTATTCTTAAAATCTTTACCAATATTATAAAGCTGAAGAGTTTGTTTGTTTGAAGCGCTAATCTCAGGAACTACTGGTTCGAATTGAATTTATTTCTTGTGTTGGATAGTTCAATCGTTGAGGAAGGCTTTAAGCTTCCTCTATGTGAAATAAACGGTACGCTACGACCAATAGAAGCGAAGCATCAGTGAAAAATGTTGCTAAAACGGGGAAAATTATTCATATCTGGGGGCTTTCGTTGCGTGCGCTGCGTAAACTATTCAAGTTACCCAGAAATATGTATGAAAGAATTATTCCTCTTTAAATGATCTAAAGAATGTCCGCGACAGTATATGGTTTTATTCTTTTAAGACGGGCAAACGAAAGATAATTGCGATAGTCTTGTTGTGTTGTTGTTGCCCGCGAAGGAAGTCGCGGACAATTCATTATAATTCCAATGTCTGCAACTTATAATGTACTAGCTGTCTCCGCGAATTCGTCCGCGTGGAATTTAACTTAATTTTTATAAAATAGAAGAATTGTCTTTAATAAAAGTAGCCTAAGTTACTCCTTATTATATCAGCTAACTACCAGAAAAGTCCCGTCAAAATCGATCCAGCCATTTCAGAGATAGCCGGAACAAACAGACAGACAGACAAAAAAAACGTTAAGAAAACGTTATTTTGGTGTATGTACCGTAGTATATTCATATGCATGTAGTAAAAAACGGTTATTTCAATATTACAAACAGACACACCAATTTTATATATATGTATAGATAAAGATAATTGATAATCTGTTTAAATTCTTATGTTGTCTTAGATTGTTTCTACGAACTAAAGATAGCTTCATTTTTTTGGCAAATATCTAGTTTTTCAGTTACGTGTAATTCTAAAACAAACTATAATAGTTTAAAGAAAATTTTACCTGTTTCAAACGTGGTATTAGTTGCCTTATCGTATGGATAAAGTTTTATTGAGTTTAATTAGTTATTGTAAAAATTTTCATAATAACATGTTAGTAGTACCTATAACATTGTGTTTGTACTCCGCTACTAAACGATGAATTAATATGCTGAATTCGAATAACTTAAAATATTGTAAATGTGTTTTTTATATTACTATAACTTTGTTGTTATTAATGTAAGTGTTGCTATAATAAATAAAATAAATGGAATAAAGTCTATTCGTTTCTGTTTGTTGTATCGATAACAAAAACAATCAGATGTCGAAGCTAATAAATATTGAGTCAGATAATATTATAATTACTTTAACTAAGCAAGTAGTTATGTTATTATTGTATATTACCAATTGTTAACTTGGTGTTTACAAAAATTTAGGTCTTCATCATAGAGTTTCATGGTGGATTAATAAATGAACTCTACTGTGACTGTGTGAGCGAAATTACTATTGTAAAAGAAACCAGGAAATATTATAGTTGGAATTCATCCCCACACGCTGGAACCTAAGTGTTCTCGGACAGTGCGGTTTCAGAGGAGCTTCCTCCCTCGTACACTTAGATTGTGGAATGAACTACCTGTCGAGGTTTTCTCGAGACACTACAGCATGGGGTTTTTCAAGAAGGGTATATTAAGATTTCTTAAGGGTCGGCAACGCGCATGTGACACCCCTGGTGTTTCAGGCGTCCATAGGCTACGGTAACCGTTTACCATCAGATGGGCCGTATGCTTGTTTGCCACCTACGTGGTATAAAAAAAAACAAAGTTGTACGTATTAATCTTAGAAGGGACACACAATAAAGTAAAGTAAATAATAACAGATTTATTTTTTAATAATATAAAGATATATAAAAAGAAGGATAAGTAAACTGCCAGCGACGACTATTTTATAATGATTTTGTGCAAACTAATAGCTGCCTTTACACATATTCTCTTTCACTCGCTAATCGGCTTTCACGCAGGAAATAATGAGCATGTAAATATAGACAAATATACAACAAGAAGACAAGAGAACGATAAACACACAACGCGCGGCCAGCTCGCGCATTTCCGCAATCACCAGTCGTGCGGGCTTTAGCAACTTTTTAGATAATTAATTACCTTTGCAAAGTGGCGGACTTCTGGCTATGGAGCAAAGACATAATTGTTGAGTTTAATAATCTTTAAATCTTAAACGTAACTTTGGAAAGTGAAATCTGTAGAACAAAAACTATAAAATTTCAAAGATTGAACACAAAAAATACATAAATGCTGTCACTCATAATTGCACGTGCTGGCTTTCCTTGACTTAATTGCTCCTTATAGCGCCTTAAAGAACGTCTAGTTTACAGGGTAATCAGAAATGTCTTTATATTCTAAAGTTAGTACAAAAACAGAATACTATATTTACAATTTTCTATTCACTTCACTTTTTGACACATCCTTCAAATAAAACTTCAATCTCTGACTATTTTTCTTATATTGTTATTTATTAATATTGAAAATTACAACAGGGATTTAACAATAACAGGCCTAATGCTACCTGCACAAGTTGCTTGTTCAAAAAAATTAAGTTACAAATGCAATAAAGAGAAGGAGCGGCTTCGCTGCATCCACCAGTAAATCTAGGCTTCCGCTGTCTGGTATAGTACAAGACAGCAGAAGCCTAGATTTACTGGATCTACTCTACGGATTTGCAGCACATTTTCTAAGACAAAAGTTATTTTGTGATATATTGCTAATTATATATGAAGAAAGTGTAGTGCATTCAGGCCCTAAGAAATAAATAAATATTATCTATGGTCTTGGTTACGCTCTCTTTATGGTCAGGTCTAATGCAAGTAATTTTGTGTCTGGCATATATATAATTGTAGTTTTGTCGAGTAATTGAATGTATACAAATGAATAAGTCATTGTTTGTGTTAAAGACCCAATCAATGCAACAATAAAAACACGAAACAGATAACTCGTAAGTATAAACGTTGACTTGGTGCGGGAATCCAACCACGTCCATCATGTTTCTTTTATTTTCGGACTACTCTAATGCTGTTGGCCGCAGCTGGCCTTAACAGCTTCACCGGACGATAGGGGGCGAGTGCAGATGGCACTCCAAACCCGCGGAAGGACTTATGGAGCGGCTGAAGGCCAACTCCCGCCTGACGGATACGACTTTAGTCTGAGGGCACCGCTAGGGGTTCGAATCACGGCTCACACCGTCGTAACATCGGACGAGGGATCGATCGGAGGGGCGGCCGGGGGGCGGGTGTAGAGCGCCCGGGCGCGCTCAGGCGCCCGGTTGAATGCGCGATATGATGTGTAAATCGATACATCATGTCTAAACCTAGCTTAGACGCTATGTTACTTCCACTACGTTCATCACATATCTATTTAATAATCCAACCAATTTTCTTTCTACATTTACAGACTGATGAAATATATTTATACAGAATGTCTGTCAAATGTGACCGCTAGTATTTTTAATTAAAATAATAGTAATTGATTTTTACCTGCAATTATTTTCTTTCGCTAACTCAAGTCGGGAGCAAACGGGTTAATTCACAAAATTGTATAAATGAGTTGTACGGGCAACCGCACATGCCTGCTTACTGTGCAATACACAATTGCCTACACATGCAATATCACTTCCATACATTTCACCTCATTATATTTATTTTTAGTAATAAAAATCAGTGTTCGAGTAGCATTCAACCAAGGCGGTTTTATTTATCAAAAACCCCTCATCAATCTATCAATAGCATTATCACGGAACCGTGGGCTTAAACCCCCACATTCTTTGGTCCTTCGAGTCTTTGACCTTACTCCTGTTCGGTCGAAGGCGGGATCTCGCGTTGAAGAACTTTAAAAAGTGACAATCGCGGAATCCTGTAAGTGGTGTCACGTGGGCCGAGAGCACGGTTCACAGACATCGCATCATCAGCATCAGAGCAGAGCATCATCAGCATCAGAGCAGAGCATCATCAGCATCAGAGCAGAGCATCATCAGCAGCATAGCAGAACATCATCAACAGCAGAGTGAGAAGCAGATCAAGTAAGACTGTTCCTTTAATTATTAGCTATTAAAATATAAGATGGAGCTAATCAAGCGTCAGGCTGACATATTTGAATCAATAAATAAAATAAGAATAAATTTTAATAAGGACTCATCCTCTAGAAAAACATCGGATTATCTAAAAAATAGGATAGAAACCTTAAATAACTTGTGGGGAGAGTTCGAACAGAATCACGTAGAGTTATCTTCATACGAGGATAAATCTGCGCAGTATTTTCGGGATAACATTTATCAAAAAACGAAAGATGTTTTCCAAGACATAATATCAAAATTAATTTCTTTTAATAAAGAAGATAAGGGCACTCAGCGTAACCAAAAGGCAGACGAATTACTAACTTTACAAAGAACAAATTTTAGGGCTTTTAATCGTCTTTTATTGAGCGTAAATGTGGATAGCAGAAAAATGGGAGTTGGAGGATGAGCTTCGTAGTATACAATCACGGTGGAGTACTATCGAAAATTTACATCTTCAAATAGACAACATTTTGCAAGGAGAAGATGTAGACTATGATACAGAGTTCGCGAGCTATGAAACATCATACAGAACTATAAAGCGGAGATTAAATAAAAAACTAAGTTCAGCAGCTCACTTAAACAATTCAACACCACAGCTGGAGATACCAACCTTCACAGGTCAATACACCCATTGGCCTACTTTTCATGACTTATTTTATGAGGCCATTCATAATAATAACACATTGTCAAAATCACAAAAAATGCAGCACCTCAAGGGTAAAATAAAAGGAGAAGCTGAACGTCTCATTCACCATCTCACCATCTCCTCAGATAATTATGACACCGCGTGGGAAATCTTAACGCACCGCTATAATAACCCACAAATTCTATTCACAAAGCATATTGAGATATTATTAAATCAAGCCAATATAAGCAAACAAACGTCATTCGATATTAAAAAGCTGCACGACGTTAGCATGGAATGTATCCATGCCATTCACAATCTTGGCATTGATACAACAACCTGGGACCCATTATTAGTCCATATATTATCAAAAAAATTAGATCATTTAACGTATGCTGCCTATATGGAAGCTCGTAAGGATCCCAGGAGTCTGCCAGCTTTAGACGAATTTATGGGATTCCTAGAGAGTAAATTTACAGCTCTCGAACCCATAAGTAGGAAGGAAAGGGTAGTGACAACTGAAAAGGTGTCACAGCACCATATAAGCAAACCATCATCATCAAATTCATTTAGATTTATGAGCACTGGGAGACCTAGCATAAATAATTATTCTCATAATAATACAGGCCGTAATAAAATAGATAAACCATATCAAAAACCATTCTTTCAAGCAGTAACTACGAAGACATATAAATGTCCACAATGCAATCAAGACCATGATTTATTTAAATGTAATCAGTTCATTGACCTGTCACCAAAATCAAAATTGGCGACAGTGACTAAACTTAATATATGTCCAAATTGTCTATACAAACATGACACTAGTTGTTTTTCAACGAAGCGATGTAAGGAATGCAACGGCGAGCATAATACGATGCTCCACGACGCGTTTACAATAAAGAGGTCACCACAAATGAATAATAAAAATTTTGCAAAATCAGCGGACAAACGATATAGCGCTAATTATGTAGCAAATAATGATGAAATGTTATTAACAACTATACAAATGCAGGTATTATCAAGCGATGGGTCGTATGTAACTCTACGGGCCTTATTAGACCAAGGTTCGCAGGTTACTATGATAACGGAAAGTGCCGTACAACTGTTAGGATTGCCTCGTGAACATCTGAACGCTTCCGTTGCTGGTATAGGAGAATCACCAAATCAAAGCAGGGGAAAAGTTCTACTGGACTGCAAATCGTTACGTAACGACTATGAGTTTGTTGCCGAAGCACTAATTATGCCGAGAAAAATAGTTCGCAATCTGCCTACTGCATCATTCGATATAAGTAATTTTCATCACTTAAAAAATTTACCTTTAGCAGACCCTGATTATAACACTTCAAGCAACATAGACATTTTATTAAATACCAATATATATTCGGAGATAATTTTAGACGGTTTGATAAAAGGACATAGGGATGAACCTATAGCACAGCGAACAGAACTGGGCTGGATAGTCTCAGGTCGCGTGGGAATAAAAACATTTAATTGTCACGTTGTGATCAACGACCTAAGTGAGATATCTCAGTACTGGGAAAT